CGTATATATACCCGTGTGTCCTGCACCACGCTCTGTTCGCTCTGCTCGCTCTGTTGCTGTGCCCCCAGGGCCGACAGAGCCTGTCACGTGACGGTCCGCAGCCAATCCTGGTTCGCCCTGTGTTCCCTCCAGGTGTCCAATGAACGTAGCGAGTCTCTGCTTGGCGACTCGTGGCCGGTCTCCTGCGAGGCCGTGTGTAACACTTGTCTAGCTGCAAACAGCTCTCTGTCCTGAGCTGATCTCAATCTTGCCAGCGCACGGACCCTCTCACGGGGATCCTGAGGCAGGGTTTCGAGGAAGCTGTCATCGAGCCTAAGACCTCTAATTCCCTCCATCATAGGGTTGTGAGTGTTTAGGCCCTGATAGGGAAGAGAATCAACGTTCCAGGGACAAAGTTGTCGTAAGTAGTGGCCTCGATGAGCGCCACCAGCCCTCCTCCACACAGTCCAAAGCATATAAGTCGTCAATGCTTCCAGCACAAGCATGTATGCAACGAGACGTTGGAGTCTCTTTGTCCGGGGCGCTATGAATGCAACGCCGACATGTACCAATCGAAACCCGTCCCTCTAAGACTTCTTCGAATTGATCGACAGCTGGTCCCAGGAAACGCTGGCAGAACCATGAGCAACGACCCCTTGATATTGGCTGATTCGAGCCGATGCTCCCGTAACAACGGAGAGAGCAGACCCACTGTACGGACGGAACTCGGGCTGGCCATGCTTTTGGAAAATACAGATATAGACGACCAGGTAGTTCGTTAGGACACCCTTGTCCAGTGTAAGGGCATCGGGTAGGGCTAGATATGATTCGAGAGTAGGCGGCTTTTGACTGAGTAACATTTTTCCGAAGGCCGCTGAGATACAAATGTGGAAGTCCTTCAGTAAACCGTCGCGGTCGATTTCATCGAGACAGAAGTTTACACTGTAGGAGGTTCTCAATTCCAATTGACGTATGAGGGCCACGTTCTGGCTGACCCGTTCTCTCAGTTCTGATTGTCGTTCAAGCTCAGTGAAGCCAGACGGCAAAGGGGGAAGATTTGGTAGTGCCGGGACAGAGTTGTCTTCTTGTATGAAAACAGCGAGCTCTCCAAGCCTCTCTTGAAGCTGAGCTGGCTCATGAAATTCGTCTTCATCAGTCGAGTATATGTCGTCCTCATCAGTGAGGTAGACATCGTCTTCTCCGTCAGAAGGAAAGTAATCAGAAATGGCCAACTGAGCTTCATCCTCAGATAGCCCGGACTGAGACATGATAGTCTCATTGACTCATTCAGACCACGACAAAAGAAATGAAACGCAAATACTAATCAGGACAATGTAAGAAAAGAGAAAGAAATTTGTGCCAGTAGAAAATCTGAGTAGAGGAGAAAGTAAGGTGAGAGTAGAGACAGAGTAAAGAGTATAGATACCACAAAAATTCTTACCACTGATCAAACTCGCCTCACTTACACTTCACTATTCTCATAAAACTCTCAGCGAGCTCAGTCTTTTCTCTCTTCTTCTACCTTTCTTCTTCTTCTGCCCTTCTTCTTCTTCTTCTTACACCTTCTTTATCTCTGACTCTTACAACTATTTCACTTCTCATTAACAGGCATGTCCTGTACATCCCGCTAACTCGACTGATATCTGGAAATCATCAGAGTAACACCACTTACTTGATCCTTAACTTATTGCTGGCATGATGTCGCCAACTAGCCTGAAGTTAGAGGGTAATCAGCTGCTGCCCGGCTCTGAAACCACTGAAATGGGCAATCAAGTTTCCACTCATGTCCTTGACACTGAGGTTCAAGTCAACCAAGTTCCATCTGACACAGCTCAGGTCGCGGACACTTCTGTCCTGCACAACCCACCACAAGCTGACCAGGTTCCATCTGATACAGCTCAGGTCGCGGACACTGCTGTCCCAAGCAACTTGCCACAAGTCAACCAAGTTCCATCTGACACAGCTCAGGTCGCGGACACTGCTGTCCTGCA